TTTGGATCAGGAATTGAGATTTTTGATCTGTCTTGTTGTTAATAGTTACTTGTTGAGCAATAAGATGAAATGATGAATGATACCAACTCTGGATTCAGGAATCTAGTCCTTGATTCATTGAAAGTGTGACCTTGAGCAAATCACCAAATCTCTCTAAGACACTAAGTTTCTTGTCTGTAAAACTGTAATAATAAAATTTATTTCAGGAGGTAGTTATGAGAATTAAATTAAACTAGCACAGTGTTTGGCATGTACTAATTTCAGTAAATGCTGTGTTGCTCCTGTTATTAAAATTCTCGTCTTCCTTATTTATTAGATGTGGGAGTTGAAGCAGATGTATGTTTTCCTGCTTTGATACTCGATAGTTTTAGTTATAGGGAATAATACTTTTTCATCTTTCCCTGGAAGAAACAAGTTGCACAGACCATGAGGTACAGAACACAGGACTGGCTTATGCAGGTTGAGTAACACCATCTCCAAATTTAGCTTGATGCAAACTCAAAACCAGTTTTGTATTTGATCCCAGGACACATTCAACATGACTTGAGTTTGGGGAGAAGTATAACTGTGCAAACCTGTTTTTAAGAAAACACAACTCAACAGCTGACTCTTTCTCTAGAGATGTATTCCCCTCAGTGTTGTTTCAAAAGGAAACTTCTTAATTGCTTCTTTTTTTTTTTCTAAGGCAAATATTCAAGGGGAACTGGTCTTGTGGACTTGCAGTTTCCCTTTTCCCTGGCACACATGGTTCGCCATCTTTGACATAGCCTTCACTTTTCAGTTCTGCATCCTTACCGGGAATATTTCTCTTCATTATAAGGTTGCTATAAAAATCCCTTTATCTGGAACTATCAGATGAACTTGCATCTTGGCCTTTCTTTTCTTTTTTACTAATCAACATTAGTTAATACGAATTATTCCATGTAGGTTGTCAGTGGGTATAGACGTATATTTGTGAATGGGGAAGAGAAAGGGAGAGAAAGAGAAAGCAAAAAATTTTCTATTGAGATTTGATTATGTACTTATTAAACAGTCTTAGTGGAAGCTACCATTTTCAGGAGTGCATTTAATATAAATGCACCTTGTATTATGTGTTAATGTGTAATATCTCTTTTCATATGCACAAACACAATTAATGCTATTATTACTGTCATATCATATTGAAGCATAGAGAAATTAAAAACAAAACAAAACAAGAATATTCATAAAATTAGTCATGGAGCCAGAATTCAACCAAAGTCTTATAATGGAACATAATTGTTTAATTAGAGTACCTAATATTTCCTCATAGTTTCAGGGAAAAAATATCCATGTTTCTTGATAATTTAAATTGAAACATAAGAGTGATATAATATGGGAAGTTTGTGTATATATTTTTTCCTTTAGATAGTGATGAAAATAAGTACTGTAAGGGCTTCTGAGGTCCCCAAACCTTCTACTTTTTTCCAGACTTCATATGCTCTAAGAAGGGACCTAATCACTCCATTTTTTCCTGTTAGCTCACTATGTAATCTGTTACCTAGCTAACCACCACTCAGGTTTTTACATATTGAGCTTTGCACATACTAACACCATCGTCATTTTTATATCTTCTTTTGTACTGAATCCTTGGTGCCAGGCAATCAGCTCTGACTTTCTAAATAAGTATTCTTCAAGGTTACCAAGGGGGAAGGGTTAGGGCAGGTCGGGGAGAAGGAGGGCAAGGGGGATAAAGGGGCACAATAATTCACAATCATGATGTAAGTTGGTCATGGGGACAGTAGTACAGCATGAAGAATATTGTCAATTATTTTGTAACATCTTTCTAAGTAGATACTAATGGCACTAGAGGGGGTGAGCATTTAATATTATGGGTAACTGTTGAACCACCATGTTTTACATTTGAAACCAATACAAGATCGTATATTGATGAAACTTTAATAAAAAAATCAATATTTGAAACAGAATGCCATAAAAATTAAAATCCTCTTCATTTTTATAAAAAAAAGAAAAGAATGCCTCTATTGCTAATCTTGAAAAAATGCCTACATGTGAAAAACACAGGTGGGCACAGGCATGTTCCTTTGCTTCAATGATCTGTTGACATATCTGTCATCTCTTCTCACATAGAGTATTTCTTCATCTTTGTATTTTCTTTCATCCATGATGGTGTAGAAAAATATTTTCAATAATTTTTCTTTGTGTATGGACCTAAGAAACTTCTAAAATCAAATTTCTTCTTGTTTAGGGAGCTCATCTGCCTCAAAAGTTAATGCATTAAAAAAAGATAAATTATCATTGCTTGGTAGTTTATCTGTGATCTGTTCTTGTTCCCGTGGACTGCCGCTGTTTACAAGAAGCTCAAAATAATACTGTGGCACATTCACAGCACATATTCAAAAACACATTTTCTCTCCCTCCCAGGTTTCCCAAGAGTGTATTCAAAATTGAGAACATAGCAACTTGCCACAGAGCATCCATTCAACCAGAGCAGGAAAATATTTTAATATTTTAAGTATCTTCCTGCCTTATAGTAATTCTTTTCTCCCCCAAAAATGATAAAAGTCTTGAGGCTCAGGAATAAGGCTGAACAACCAGTGTAAATGATAGTGGACATCAATGTTAAAAATGAGCGTATAACTACGTTTATGTTTATGTCAGAAATTTAAAACAGAAGTCAGAAGAGAAACCAGTGTGGAAGAATTGAGTCATCACAGGTAGGAGACGCGTAGTACCACCACCGTGTTAACACATTTACCGCGCTCTGTCTGGAGCAAAGCAACACCATCCAACATATTCTCTTAATTGCTAGGCAGAATGCAACCGATTGATAATTTCCTTTGCCTTTAGTTTGCATTCTTTAGCTTTATGAAGGTTGTGTAAGTATCACACATGTATACTGTACACATTCGATAAATTTTGTAATTTAAAAAACTCAAAACTAAAAAATATTTTCATATTGCTGACTTTCCAGTTTGTCCTTTGATGTCATCTTTTATTTCTTAGACTCACAAATGTATGCCTTGAAGGTGGTAATCAAACTCCTGTGACATGAATGCTAAAGTGACAGATAAATAATTTTGGCCAGTTTATTAATACACATGCTATGAATACTGACCTGAACAACAGAAAAGTAAGTAACTACTATTGATTTAGTCTTTAATGTAATTTAAAGGAAACTTTTCTTTACCTACAGTAGACTGATACTCAGCTGTAATTCAGTGAGATCACAATGTGTTATATTCTTTAAGCTTTAATTTATCTCTGTATGTCTGTATATCCTTAAATCCAAACGTGCATGTCAAATGGACCTTTGAAAAACTCTTTGAGGGAAGAGTGAATCCCACAAAAATAACAAGAAACCTTGGGACTGGAGGTGAATGGGAAGACCCTGAGATTATATGGAAATGGTGGTATTCTTTATATGAGAAAACAAAGGATTTTAGAGATGAATTTATCAACTCTGTAACAGGTATTTCAGCCTATCCATAAATATATTCCATATATATAACCTACCCATAGAGTCCATCAAACCATAGTTGAACAAAATATAATCCTGCGGATTAAATCAAAGGTTTTGGGAATAATCATTTGCATTTAGCCTTTGGAGGCATAAAACAATCCCATCTCCAACAAAAAAATCATTGTTCTATTGAAAAGCTTTTTCAAGATTCTCACTGGATGGAATTGTACTCTGTATTCTGCAGAATTAGAATGGTCCTTGATACCGATGGAACCTCAGTCTCTTTTTCGTTTTCGAGTTAAGTAAATAAATGCTAGTTAGACTAAGTATAACAGAATTCTTTCCCACAGAACTTCTCATAGTTTAACTTTACCAAGTAAATTATGTATTTCTGAGAGACTGGATAAGATATAAAGATTTCTCTTATTATTTGATGATTGAACACTTGTGGATTTTGCTCCATAACACCTATCAATATCATGTAAGGCACTACTGTTTTCTCAGGAAAATAATTTGTGGAATGTTATTCTGGAAAGGAAGTTCATGATACAACCTATAAATCTGCAAATTAAAATATAAGGCACTACTGTTTTCTCAGGAAAATAATTTGTGGAATGTTATTCTGGAAAGGAAGTTCATGATACAACCTATAAATCTGCAAATTAAAATTTTGAAAATGAAATGCAGAATACCCAAGGAGCTTTCCTGAAACTCCACTGGATTTCCAAAGAGTCAATCATTCCCCAATCTCTGTCCCCCCAGTACAACTCTGTAAGAATGTATCATGGGTTAGAAAGTTTATGTATGTTAGTATATTATAAATCCTGCCATTAATCTCCCTATCTTATCTTTGCGTCTCCAGAACATAGCAGTTAATTATTTCTAGTAGATTATAATACATGTTAGATATGCAAAAGAGTCCAGGGAATATGCATACTGCATTAAGTGTGTATAAGTGATTTACTCCCATATATTTGACTTTAATGCCTACTTTGATCAGTTTGTCCCTGTTCAACTTAAATGGGTGTAAGGTTAGATTAAAAATAAATTTTTATCTGACATTTAGGGCTGAGGAATTCTTTGATTCAGTGGCTTCCATCTCTAAACATGGAGAATATGCGTATAGTGAAAGGGATGAGACAAAAACTGTTTTTAAATTATGTTAAAAAGAGAACTATAACAAATATCTTAAAAAATTTGAACCTACCAAACATGCCAGTATTGGAAACAAGGGACATTTACGAGGTAGTCTTGGAAATTTGGCTAATCATAATATTTAATATGTTTCCATCACAATAGTTTGTATAATTGCTATGTAATAAGGACTGTGTATTTTTTTCATCTAAGTCACCATCAGAGAGCCGGTTACACAGCAAGTCCTCAGATAAGATTTGCTGAAAAGAATGGCAAGCACGGTCATATATATTTAGTAAAGGAAGACGCAAAAGGGGGCATGGATAAAGTTAATCATTAATAAATAGACAATACCTGATTGTAAATTTATTTCCTTTTAGTTATCACAGCAATTTGTAGCTAATACTGACTGAGAACTGGGAAAATGCTTAACTTCACTGACGTGACAGAGTTTATTCTTTTGGGACTAACCGGTCATCAGGAATGGCAAGTTGTCTTCTTCATAATTTTTCTGGTCGTCTATATCGTCACCATGGTGGGTAATATTGGCATGATCATATTAATTAAGGTCAGTCCACAGCTTAACAGCCCAATGTACTTTTTTCTCAGTCATTTGTCATTTGTTGATGTGTGTTTTTCTTCCAATGTCACCCCTAAAATGTTGGAAAATCTGTTATCGGAGACAAAAACTATGTCTTACGCTGGATGTTTGGTACAATGTTTCTTCTTTATTGCCCTCGTCCATGTAGAGATTTTTATTCTTGCTGTGATGGCCTTTGATAGATACATGGCCATTGGGAACCCTTTGCTCTATGGCAGCAAAACGTCAAGGGTTGTCTGCATTCGACTGATTTCCTTCCCTTACATATATGGTTTTCTGACTAGTCTGGCCGCAACCTTATGGACCTATGGCTTATACTTCTGTGGGAAAATTGAGATCAACCATTTCTACTGTGCAGACCCACCTCTCATCAAAATAGCCTGTGCAGGGACCTTTGTAAAAGAATATACAATGATCATACTTGCAGGCATTAATTTCACATATTCTCTGACTGTAGTTACCATTTCTTATGTGTTCATTCTCATTGCCATTCTACGGGTGCACTCAGCAGAAGGGAGGCGAAAGGCCTTTTCCACGTGTGGGTCCCACTTGACAGCAGTCATCATCTTTTATGGAACGCTTATTTTCATGTATCTCAGACGTCCTACAGAGGAGTCCGTGGAACAGGGGAAAATGGTGGCTGTGTTTTATACCACAGTCATCCCCATGCTGAACCCCATGATCTACAGTCTGAGGAACAAGGATGTGAAAGAGGCTGTGAACAGAGTGATCAGCAGAGCATGTTTAACAAAATAAAATTTAGTTAATCTTGCCTTCTGTGTTTCATAAGCTTTTGTTCATCAGTAGATTATTGCTTAGTCCATAGTTAAGGACTTTTTACGAGAAGCTAAAAGATTTGTGCATTGAAAAGGAAACAGAAAGACTCAAATTCAGGGAAAAATAAGTAGATCTTCCCATCCTGTTGGTGTAAGTAGTCAGGATTATTTAAAAATTAAAATACTGATTAGTGGAAGAGTTCATTGGAGCAAAGCCCAGGGATCCTCCAATTGAAATTGTTCAAATACTTAGCTAGAATGAAGATTTTGGTTTTTCTTATTCCAATACACAGTGGGTGAATTTTGGAAGTATTTATCAATTTGCCTATTTAGAGATAAATTGGAACAGGAAAAAATATCATACTTTATTCATTTCTAGCATGAGGACATGAAAAATGGTGGCCCCACAAATAGCTACAACATTGTGCGATGTTTCCTATTTTTTCAATGTAAAAGGTGGTTCTGTTCAAAAACCACTGCTTTCAAAACTGTAATCCTATTCTTTTTAATTGTTGTGTTTACAAGACAAAACACAGTGTCTCTATTTTAGAGATTCTCGTAACTTCCATGCTGCAACTAAGAGGTTGCCTCTGACTAGACTGTGCCCTTCTCACGGCCTTGCCAACCGTCTTCAGTCTGACTGAAGAGTGGGTAGAATTGGTGGATGGATGTGTCATTTTGAAAGCACAGCTCTCCAGATTTCCCTTAAGAAATGATATTGATGTTCATGTGGAATATTTTGCACTTCTGTGCCTTAGATGTGGTTCTTAAATATTTTAAAATAAGTTTTGTCTTTGAAAGAAATAAGATAAGGTGGTCTATTCGTCTTTCACAACAACGTGACCTACCATCATAATATTCACATAGTTTGGTTTCTCTTCTGTACCACATTTTACAAAGTACGAGCACGAGCCAACAAGTGTACAATTTGGACTTCCTTAAAGTCTCCATGTGCTCCGATAAATGAATAAATAAACTCCATTTTGGTGCAGAAAATACATAACTAAAGAAACACAACTCAGATGTTTAAGTTATACAATTAAGTACTTGTGAATTTATCTGAGAAGATGGAAATATAAAATGCGACTGATGCAATATGAGAATAAACATTCTTCTTTGTCCATTTTTAAGTTTTCAGTTTCCTCAAGGGAAACCAAAAATGCATATAAATTCATTTCCGCATATTGTGCACATGTCTCATGGACACTACTTTAAAGCTATTTGAATATAAACAGATTGCTAATCAGATTAAATTATAATATTACTGTATTGCAATACTATAGTTGCAAATTTAAACCCTCTAAAAATTTAAGATCAAACTTACTTAATGTTACTTTTTGGGTGAGTTAAATGTAACTTTTTTCAGCCATACAATTAGTCACTGTTGTTTGGAGAACTCTTGATATGCCAAAGTAGTTGCTGATTACCAATACATTTCAAAATATGGGCTTAGATCATTTTAATAAATATTAAGTCTGTTAGCAGGTAGATTTAAATAATCTCTGTTACCTCTTTTTCTTTTTTCCAAAAGGTGAAATGCTTTCCCTACTTATTTTTTTTGGAGAGTTAGTGTTACATGAAGAATGATGATCTCATGGTCAATGGTTTAATCATGTTCTTGGTGTGAGTTTCCAAATTTCAAATTAGTGTCTGGGTGACCTTGGACAAGGCATGTTTTGTTATTCATGCTCCAGTTAATTTTTAGGTTGCAGTCTTTGGTATCCAAGGTCTCTCCTGGTTTAAAATTTCCTGAATCTACCTTCATTAGCAGAATTTGAATCAATTTTGTCATTTGCTGAAAATTCGGGGTATTTTTACAAAAACCTTTTAAAGATAGATCTTATTGTTATACTTATTTCTACAGCTATCAACTTCATTATATTTCAGCAGCTCCAACATAAAGTGCATTTATTTCTGTCTCTTTGTCTTTATTGCTGTCTCTGTAACACACACACACACACACACACACACATACACACATTCTTCTTTTCAAATCTGCATTTTCTTGAGAGCCTGAATTTTACTTCATAATAACATGGTGCCAATGAGTTCATCTGATGCACTTTCATCCTTATTAAGGGAGAAGGAATTCAGGATTTCTGAGTACTTGGGCATTGAAGAACACAGAAAGAAACATTGCCTTAGCACAATTCTGTTCTTTATTTTCCAGACTAAATTTAAGGAGCATTAGTTTGGAATTTAAATTTGGTAGAAAACTTAACCTCATAGTTTTTTTTTAGCATAGTTTTATTTTTCAACATAGAGATGATATTAGTCACAGTCCTATAGAGGTGGTGAGATCATACTTGGGACTGCTCAGAGGAACTGCACAAATCATTCCAACTTTTTTGAAGGCTGCCTTCGAGATGGACATTGTGCTGAGAGTTAGCCCTTTATTATCTGAGAACATCACATCGACCTGTAAGACAGTAGTCTCCCCATTCTGCAGATGAGTATGGGTGCTGAGGATTGTTACTGACCCAAGGACACATAGTTGAGGTGGTAGGGCCAAGGTCTGGTCACTGATATGTCTGATTTCAAAGTTGATGCTCTAATGACTCCCAGAGAAGCCTAAATTCAGTGAGACAAATTGTCCTACTTTGGTTGATTACTTCACGGGTGACCTATACTTGCATTCATTCTCCCAAGACATTTTCAAGTGATCTACGATTCTGAGAAATCTGACCTCTGTAAAATAACCATGAGATACATAGGACACACACTGCTGTGATCATCTGTCCTAAACAGTAGCTTATTAGAACTGTAGCACCACAGAAAAAAGAGTGATTGGCTGAAATTTTACTTGCTCCAAGCTAAGAATATTTCCATGAGATGTGTAATTGCCATGTGTGACCAAAACAGGGCAGACCCATGTGAAGATGAGAGAGCTGATACCATGATATTAAGAATTTGATTTAATTTATTATAAGAATTAGTCTTCTACTTAACACAGTTTCACTTCTCCTTCCCCTGAGATGTTTCTAGAACCTTAATCATTATTCCTTCCATAATTACTTGGACAATTCCTTGGAGAGAGGCTCTCAATGTTCAAAATTCTATTATAAATAAAGAGAAATTATCATACGTTGTTCTCTTCTGCTGAAGGTAGGTCTGCAAATTGTGTCTCTTTGCAGTACATATTCACGCAGTCAAATCTTTTCATTTTTATGCCTGTCTAGAAGAAAAGACTGAGACCTTAGTTGTAGACTTCTTTGTTACCACAGGGTTTTGTTATGTGAAATTATATTACTGGGAAACATTCTTATTTCAATCCAAAGTTAATTCAAAACTTCTTAAGAATGAGCTTTAGATTTTTATTCCTCAGTGTTTTAATCCTTTCTCTCAGTCATTGAAAAATAACCACTGATTTTCACACTATTCTTTTAAAATATATGCGGATGGAGTTGAGAAGATCGTGTCAGTGGGCATGACACAATATTATACCCAAAATGGTTACAAAATTCCTGAAACTCTAATACATCTTTTTTATAAGTTACATATTCTATCGAGATTCCCAATTGTTTTGATGGGGATGCATACCTACATAGTACATTGGCTTTGTCCCTGAAGTCACTAGGTCATCTGCTCCTCAGGCTAAGGGCTCACCTAAAACATTTGAGGGGCAGGGAGAAGCAGTGGTTTACTCCTTTACCTGCTCCTGCTCAAGGGCCATGCTACATTCTTCTAGTCCATCAAGGACGAACTGCTAAAGGATGTCTTTGTCATGTCTTGGAGGATAACCAAACTAAGCTTTATATGTGAAGAAATCGGCTAATAGGTCCTCAAGGAGGCAGCAATATAAGGTTACTAAAGGTAAACCCTGGAGTTAATTGGTTTGCATCCCAATCTGTTCACTTGGTAGATGTCTGACCTAGGAAGATCTTTCTAGCCTTTCAGTGTTTCAGTTTCCTCATTTGTAAAGTGACGATGCTAACAGGTTCTGTTTATAGGACCTTTGTGTGTGCTCAACAGAAGTTAGCTACTCTTATTAATACTATAAACTTCAGAGTGTTGCCACTGGAACAGTCTTATAGAATTTTAATAATATTGAAATATTGTAATACATTATATGAAGCTGATCTAGAGATTAGTACTTTTTAAAAAAAGTCATGTGTGCAAATACTCCAATAATTGTTTTATGTAATACCTCAGCTAGGCATTTTAAAGAACTCCAAGATGAATGAGACAATCTGCACTCTGCTTCCCCTTATCTCTTGTCTTACTAGCATGCTGGACTTTGCCCCCACCTTCCTGTCCCTATAGTATCTCATTGATTATTTGTTTATTGCTTACTCCTTTTCAATAAGAATAGAGTAGGACACAAGGCAAAATTTTGTATACCTTGATCACTTTCATTTCCAGAATTTAGAATACTTCCAGATACAACAAACATATCTGACATATAATTGGCTTTGATGTTTGTGAACTGAAGGAATGTCAACAATTATGAACCAAGACCATTTATAAGTCAGGAATACACTGTCCAAACACCATTGTTATGGATTTGCTTAAATACCCAAGATGGTGCTTAATCCTACAGAGGTCCTTAAGAATTCGTGGTAAGTTTTTCCTTTTTGGAAGACATAAACTGAGTAAGTGTAGTTAGAGGAGAAAATATTGTTTGGGAATCTTTTCCTTGCAATGACATTAGATTTGAGTCTGAACAATAAAGCAAGAATTGATTGTTTCTGAAAATGAGTGGAATCTGAAATGAGACACAGTAGTTATTAAGACATGTCACCTGAACATTTCCTCATGGTATTGATCTATTAACGTAATTTTGATAATGGGTGCTAGGTCATTGCACCCATTGTCATTTCCTAATCTAATTATAACGCTGCTAGAGTATGTGCCGTTACGTCCCTGTTACCTCATCCTGCAAGTAGTAACAACCAAAAAGCATAATGTTTAGCTAAACGAAAAAAAAATGACTAAGAATTTCATACATTGAAAGCATATATCGTATGCTGGCATATGTAG